CCCAAATTTTCCCTCTCTCGAGATTCCTTAAGGGGGGGGGCTTTGTAAGTGTTGACAGACGTGAACTGATAACGCTTGGCGTCTGTTTGGAGTTGATACACAAAGGAAGCCACAAGCAATGGCAATTTCAAGTATTTTTTAATGCTTTAAACTGATGAAAAATTAAGATTTATTGATTTAAAGGCACTTATTTATAGAAATTTGATTTAGTTTAGATGAAAGAAAAGTACTTATCTTAAAATTCCAGTCTTTTGAGAGTATATCCTTACATTGTCCGCTGTTTTATTCTCGTCAACATCGGAGCCGAAATTCATTGGAATGATATAGGTTTTGTAGGGGAAAAATAAACATTTTTCAAAGAAATTTAATTGATAATCACCAAGAGGAAAGGAAAAATTTTCACTTTTTTACGGAGCGCAGCGATCGTGCTGCCGCTTGCCTCAGTGATCACACAGCCCTCCGGGAGACAGACAATTGGGTGGAACTATTGATAAGTCGTTAACGGTTGGAGTTACTGATCTCGATTGGCTATTCTTCAAAAAACTAGGAACGCATTCAACACTGATATGATAACACGATACAGAATCATCGGATGAATTAGTGGTTCCGTTTTGCGTACTGGTTCTCCTGTCTTGTTTCTGTAAAATCCGTAGTTTTTTCCTTACTTTTCGTAGCTCGTAGTTTTTCATGAATTTCCGTAGAAACTACGGAGAATCCGTAGTAGTTGGAGTCTATGGTTAAGTAGCAGAGTCATTAGTTATATCAATGCAGGAATGTGAAAAAATGTGCACTGCCCTTGCCAGGATTTGAACTCTGCACCTCTCGAATACACATTGAGTATGCTCCCAGTTACAACATAAAGGCATGCGGAAAAGAGGGAAAAATATCTTATAATAAAGTGTTTGTGGTAAAAGACTATTACCAAATTTTGAGGAAATTGAAGCATTTAGGAAACCATTTCAGGATTTTTTTAAATTTTCTGTAAAACATGATTATTACATTCATAATAAGTAAAATTCTAACACAGTTGGTCATTATCCCATATTCTGCCTGCTCATGTCAGATAAGCTTTGCGACATTGCAAAGCTCTTGTTAAACTGAAAAAGGAAAAAGACAAAATTTAGTCGATTGTCAGAGGTGAATAGAGCTTTTTAGAAGCTTAAAGCTATGTTGATTCAAGTTCCAGTATTGAAATTTCCTAACTAGAAAAGATAATGTAGATGCATCTGATTTTTCAGTAAGAGCTGTGCTTTCGTAGGATGGTTTGCCAAAGGCATATTTTAGTGAAACTCTCAATCAAACTAAAAGAAATGATACCATTACCCACAGGAGAATCCTAAAAGTCCTGTTGGGCTCTTTAGAAATTTAGAATGTATTTCAACAAAGAACCAGTAACTGTGTATACGGATGCCTCATTTCTACTTGAAAAAGAATTTATTGCTAAAATTGATAACATGGGCTCTCAAACTGCCAGAGTATAACCTAAATATTAATAAGCCTAGAGTGGGAACAGAAAACATTGCAGCAGATACCATGTCAAGAATTAAATTGGATGATCAGGGAAAATAGATATGATTAATCATGCTAATCTATAAAACTTTAAATTCTTGGAAAATGGAAATAAAGAGAGTTATAGGTGGACCCCAATTTTATTAGAATGTATTTCAACAAAGAACCAGTAACTGTGTATACGGATTCCTCATTTCTACTTGAAAAAAGAATTTATTGCTAAAATTGATAACATGGGCTCTCAAACTGCCAGAGTATAACCTAAATATTAATAAGCCTAGAGTGGGAACAGAAAACATTGCAGCAGATGCCATGTCAAGAATTAAATTGGATGATCAGGGAAAATAGATATGATCAATCATGCTAATCTATAAAACTTTAAATTCTTGGAAAATAGAAATAAAGAGAGTTATAGGTGGACCCCAATTTTATAAACATTCAAACTTGCTGAAAGGACCCCAATAATTTAGAGCTGATATTAGGAATCCAACATAACTGGTAATAGGAAGAAGGCTGCAAATTATGAAAATATTGCTAATCTTGTTTTACATGAAAGGAAACAATAAAAATACAGAATTACGACAGATTATCTCAACAAATTTAAAATTAGTATATTAAATAAAGTTACAACATGAGCCACTATCAGAACATCCAGACATGAGAAAAACAGTGCAGAAGCAGTTTATTTCCTACAGGTGCAAAAATTTGTAAAGAAAATTCTGCATCACTTGCCAGTTAATTAACTATATTAATCAGAGCTCTGCTGGGTATATAAACAGCATAAAAGTCAGTTCTCTAATAAAATTGATTTCTCAGGGCCACATTTAGACATGAAAAAAATGAAAACAGAGTTTTGATCAGATAACTTTTCAAAATGGATAGAGTTAATTCCCAAGCAGAAGGCATCAATGAAAACTTGTACAAATTCATTTTGAAACAAACCTGCCTTCAAATATAGACACCATTAAAGTAATATTTGATAATAGTCCACAATTCGTGAGTGAGACTTTTGAGGAAATGCATGTGGGTTTTGACATGCAGCATTTTAAGATGGTCCTTTCTAGACAACAGTCAAATACTGCAGAGAGGATAGATAAAAATATAACTAAAATTATCCACAGTTATGGATTCCAGTTAACATTCCACAGGAATGTTAACATAAAACTATCTACATTAAGATTCACACTGATATGGTTGCACTAACAAACTTTCCATACATTAAGGTCGGTAAAATGTGACAGAAGAGGTAAAACACTCAGAGAGTTATTTTTGGGCAGGAAATTTATTACACAGATTGATAAACTGTTCTTTGTTGAAAGAAGGGCAGAAGAACTTTGAAGTTCTGTCCAAAGTTTGAAGGCCTGTTTCTGGTACAGTATATATGGATGACTGTACTTTATCTCAGGAAAAAAGATGCACTGAGAGCATAGCAAATGTCAATAGATGCAAGCCCTACTACGAATGGATGGAGATGCCATTAATTAGAAAAGTTTAGGGGTAGCTCTCGAAGAAAGTAATGCAGGTCAATTGGGTGTGACTCAGGTTAGGAAAGGATGACATAGGCAGCAAATGCATCTAGGCCTCAGGTGGGGGCAGGAAGGAGTCAACCGGTGAAGGAAAAAGAGTAAAGGTCTAAAATTCAAAAGTACAGCATATGGCATCAACATCAAAATAAGAATCAAAGCTGCTAAGTTGACTCAAAGATCAAGAGAATTTTAGGAGACACCTGAACTAGCTGTGCCATCAATGGAAGAAAAGATTAAGGCAATCTGAAGACAAAGGAGTTTCATGGTGATCTTAGAGATTCCGAGACTAGCCTTGTCAGGAGAAGAAATGCAACAACCCTGGAACCAGTCAAACTTCCAGCGACATTGCTGGAGAAAAGGCCAAGACAACCAGTATCACTGTACATCAAAGAGGTTGCACAAGCAAGAGGGGAAAAGAAAAAGACCCTTCAATGACGACCTCGAACAGCAACCAAAATACAGAATAAAGCTTATGAAAAATTTGTTTATTTCTATTCAAATGAAACCTTATTTCATTTTTATGCCTATACATAAAGTTATAAAGTTTCTAATATGCTTTACCTGAGGTGAGGATTCTGAGTTATAAACAGTAGGTGGAATGCCTTTTGTTTATGAACTTTAATGTGTTCTGCAAAATTTATTTTGTATTTCTCTCCAGTTTTCTTAATTTTAAAAGACTGTAAACAGTAAAAAAACTTTGGAATAGGGCAAATAATAGCAACATGATGTACATATATATGCATTAAATATGTGCAGATAATTGGCTGAATGTAATTAAAAATTAATGAATTTGAAGTGAAAAGGAAATTTACTGTGTGTAAATAAACAATATTATGAGATGTTATTGTAAGGCAAAATGTGTTATTATGGAAATTGCAGTTGAGTGAAAGTTGGTATATTTTAAGTGAAAAGGCATTAGGAAATTGGTGATAGGTTCTTCAGTAATATTAAATTTTTATATTAAACTAAATTAAAATGTAGACATTAACTTGGATTTTGAAGCAGGGTGTCTCTGAAGTCTAGTGAATTACCAAGCAGGATTTGAGATAAAAGCCAGTTTTTTTAAAGCTGTAAGGCATCTTAAAGCAAGTTGTTAAAGTAAATATTTATATTTACTATCTATATGATCAAATGTTATACTACAATATTCTTCCTTCCAAGAATCTCAGGAGAACAGAGGGTGGAAAAGTAACATCATATATAGCAAACAGGTGTTAACTGTAGCATCAAAGTCACTGTCCAGTCCAAGATTAGTGCTCATATTGTGAAAAAAATTTAGATTAATCACTAAATGTTATGTTAACATCTTTTCAGACATATGTTGATTCATATCATTTGTATTGGCTGGATGTATTTGTTTTTGTTTTTTTCCCTGACAATATAGCGACTAGTGACACACAGCTTCAATCATTACATTATTGTCAGCAGAACATTCATCCAAATATAGAATCAAGTGTCTTTCTTGTTCATCATATCTTGACATTATCTTATAAAAATTGGATACCTTGCAATGTTTTATTTGAAGCAAATGTTCCCATTAATAAATATTATAAAATTGTTGATAATTCTTCAGCAGACATGGTGCTAAGTGTCTACAAACTATTTCAGGAGATGTGACCACCAGTAATCAAGCAGATAAGATAGTCAAGTAGATAAGACACTGGTGAAAAGGTTGGCTGCATGCACATTTTCATGGTTTTCTCCAAGTAACATGGATATGAAGCATTTTTTCTTAGAAAGTATCCCTGTCTTTAGTCAGATAGCCCTCATGTATTTTGTCATAATCAAAGGAACGTAGAGAATTTGGATTGTGTCAGCAATCTGTGACACAGAGGTGGATCTACCATATCTTAGACATGCATTCCAGTATATACATCTATTATATTTTAGTATCAATTTAAAATGTTTCATTTTTGACTAATCATATCTTTAAATCTACACTTTTGAGGGAAAAAACAACAAGAGAAAAGATTACAAAACTGCTTTATTTACATATAAATTCAAAATAAAACACTATACTTAATTAAAATATATTTCACTCCATGTATGGTTTTTTTTTATTTATCTAAAGAAACAATTATCAATAAATTTAAATACTTTATTTGATCTCTGTATGTATAAGAATTATAATCAAATAATAGAAAAATATAAGAATTATAATCGAATAATAGAAAAATATTAGGGGGGAAAAGCATCAACTTAGAATCACAAAAATATCTATCTATTCTAATCAGAAAACTTTAACAAGATTACATTGTTAATTTGCAATGACAGACTGAAACACAGGGAAAACTATAGGTTTAAATCAATACATTATCCTGCTATAGTGATAAGATTTTACCACGGTAATTGAAAAATGTTAGTTTTATAAATTTTCAAATATTATATCTAATTTACACATTATAAAAATTAATGACTTAATAAGACAAGAGTAAAATATTTCGACATATATCTGTATCAACAGCAATAATATGGTACATCTACATTTAAATCAATATTTGATTAAATTCAAGTTCACTATAGAAGTCCAATTTTACTACAAGTAGTTATAATAAAAGTACATTTAATACATATGCAATCAACATAAATCACTTATATTGATTTTTATTTACAAAATACCCAACAAAAATAAAATTTAAAATTTAATAATAAAAAATAGAATAAATTACTTTTATGATCACGATGTGCTTTATAAAACATGGAAATCTGAACAATGCAAAAATATTCATTTAAATACATTAAAAAAAGGCAGTCATTACAAAACATTTAGTCAAATAGCAGTTACAATAACTACATCACATTAGATATAGGTATTAAAGATAATGAAAAAAAGCTACCAGATACAACATCATGTAATTATTTTCCAAAATAACAACAGAAGTTCAGTAAAACTAATTATGAGTTTTACTGACCTCATCTCTGGCACATTTTCTCAAAAGCATCTCATAATACTGAAATGCACCTTGGCTCGATTCCGTTTTTGTTCCCAATGAATCCTGTAATAGATTGATAATGTAATTTTAAGTGGTTAGTCATATGATAATCTTATATATCAAAACATCAGATAAGATTATAAAACCACTTAAATATAGATCATGCACATAAGGCTTTTTTTTTTACAATTATTATTCATATACACATACTTCCAATCATAAAAATATTTTAAATGATGCAAAGGTTCAGGTTTTCATTATTTTTAAATTAAAAAAAAAACATTTTGTATAAAATATGAAATCTAACTTTTTATATGTTTTTCCAATCCCTACACTTATATTTAGGGAAATTTTGAACTCTGCAGGAAAAAAAAAAAAAAAAAAAAAAAAAATGCTTGACACCCATACAACAGTAATTACCTCACCGATACACCTGGTATTAAAATTCAGAATTATATCAAGGGTTGTTCCCACACTGAAGAACAAAGTTTTTGCATTTGCACATAATTAAAAAAAAATATAATTTTTCTAAATTATATTTTTTTTAGTGTTAAGAGATTTAGGAATGAGCATTTCTATGCAGATTATTAAGAAAATTATTTATTAATATAATTTTTTCAAAATCGAGATCTTATTTACAGATTCCTATAGAATTTCTGTTCTGAGAAACAAAGGCAGGCTTCAGTATTGCCACGCAGATTACTCATAGTATTATTTGCACTAACTAAAAATGAAAAATATTTGTATTTAATGAATTTTTATAATGATTACTAAATTACGATTTTGAAGTAAAAAATACTTTTTAAGATTAACAACATATTTTTAGACTTTGAAAACTTACTAATTAGTTGTGTGAAATTCTTCTGGGATAACCAAATTAAATAAAATTATACATTAAAAACACTAACAAATCACAAAAGAATATCACTGAATGGCATTTACAAGGAAAAAAAAAAAAAAACAATAACCTGGAATTATACTAATTTATTTATAAACTGACCTCTCAATGCAAATTTAAAACAGTCAGACATTGCATATTTTTAAATATTTCAATCATATTTTGTTGGAGTCACAACTTTGTGTTTTGTTTTTCATGAGTACAAAATCTTCCTAAATATATAAATAAACTTGTATATAATGAAGGAATATATAGACGAACTGATTTCTTTAAATTTAATAATGTCATAACATAAATTGCTGCATCATTTTTGTAATAGGCAGTATAAGTCTATGGCGAAAAATTGTATAAATAAAGTCAGGTAAATGCTTCGGTGGACAGATGGACACACTCACTATAAATGATGTTCAAGGGCATTCACATAAAAGTAAGCCACAAAACTACTTTTTTGGATAATCATCAAGATTGTTCAAACATCATGTCACTAGTTGTCTTGTAGCAAACTGTAATAAATATATTTATTACAGTTTGCTACAAGAATTTCTATTAAATTTTTTTTAACCCTTCTTAACTACAGTTCTGATTTTCTCAACAGAATGATACTATCTTCTTGCCCATTTTTTCTTAAACGAGAACATATATGGAAATTAAAGGATGTTTGATTTGGACTAAGGATGCTTCTACAGATCCCACTAAAATATTTTCAGGAGGTTCTTCATGATCTTCATTCTCAAACTACACACAATATTTTATTATGACCTAGTGCTGAATAGGCACCAACAGCACCTAGAGCTATTGCCACTTCGAACAATTTGTGATGAATCTCAATACACTGACTACCAATAAGTATTTGGACACCTGTGATAGAAAAGAAAAACTAACTTTATTAAAAATCAATAGTTGGTAGAGCCTCCACGAGAGGTAATTACAGCGCGGACACTCCGGGGCATACTTTCCACAAGTCTTTGTATGACAGCTAGTGGTATTTTCTTCCACTTGGCTTGGAGAAGACATAGAAGTTTCTTCACCAATTTTGCACGGGTAGTGCACCCCTGAATTCGGCGATGCAACTCGTCCCAGAGGTTCTCAATAGGGTTCAGGTCTGGTCTCTGGGCAGGCCAGTCCATTCGATGAACTCCATTGGCAACATACCAAGCCTTGGTTAACGTCGAAACATGACAACTGGCATTGTCGTCCTGAAAGTAACAGAGGTCCAACCCGTAAAACTGCCACAGCGTAGGAAGCACATTGTCATCCAAAATAGTGCAGTAGACATCGGAGTTGAGCTTACCATGAATGGGGACCAAGGGTCCCAGCCTATACCAGGAGAAACATCCCCAGACCCTAATTTCACCTCCGCCGAACTTGACTGTTGGCACAATGCATTCTGGCAGGAGACGTTCTCCAGGTAGACGCCAGACCCAGACCTTGCCATCCGTCACTCCAAAGAACCTTGATTCGTCACTACAAAGAACCCGTTTCCACTGATTTACGGTCCAATTCGATGTGCTTTCCACCACATTAACCGAGCAGCGTGGTTGGACTTGGACTTTATGATCAAAGGCTTATGGGCAGCAGCACGACCATGAAAACCAAGCAGATGTGCTTCCTTAGGGATGGTATTCATTGAAACAATACTCCCGGATGCCGGCTGAAACTCCTCATGGATGAGGGCCATCAGTTGGAATGCGGTTCTTCTTAATTTCTCTGGACAGCACTCGTCGGTCTCTATCTCCCAGTTTCGTTGGTCTGCTGACTTGGGGGCACATTCCGACAATCAACGCTCACCTTCCACTTCTTAATCACATAGGCCACTGTCGATTTTGGGTACTTCAGATCGCTAGATATGTCCCTTAAGGATTGTCCACATTTGTGATACCCGATAATTATACCTTTCTCGAAATCAGAGAGCTCCAAACTACGAGGCATCTTGCATGCGACTAAAGCCGATGCTGTTTCCTACACGATCTATACTGGCGGAGTCCGTGACATACCTTAGGACCGCAGATATTGTCATTTGCATAGGTGTCCAAATACTTATTGGTAGTCAGTGTACAAGAACTTGCCCACAGAATGTGTATCATGTGAATAAATATGTAAATCATGGAATGTATTTTCAATCTATATGCTAATTACAAGTGACACATGTTTATCACTGATAAAGCCAATCCACCTGTCATGGTGCAAATATTACTTTACGTTTCTACGGTAACTAAAAAAATGTTAACACTATATATTTTCCCCCTCCTCTCACCCCAAAAAACTTGACTTATCAACATACATACAATATAAACAATGCATACAACAAAACAATGAATATTATGCCTACAAATTTTGATCTGTCTTAAAAGCTATACATCTTAAACATACAAAATATGAAACTATAAGATGAATGAAAAAAATAGTTTACCTCTTAAACAATTTATTTTGTAACTTCAATATAACATACATCGCAAACACGTACAGGCCTCTTTGATGATGCTACAGTAGCAGTTTTGGCAGAACATTCATTGCAAAAGATATTACCACAATTTCGACAATGATGCTATGATTAAAATAGCAGTAATAATTAATACCTAAATAATGATAAATTTAAATAAGCTAACAATATTTCATAATAACTTATTATAGACAGATATCATAAGAATAATCCATTTTATTAATTTCTAAACTTATTTTTAACAGCATTTCTTTATAACTAAAATTTAAAAAATATTTGCCTTCATTTTACAACGGAACAGTTAAGTAAAAGTTATCAAATTTTGAAACTATACACTTAGGATTTTATATATTATTCTTAAAGTATTGCTCTTCCTTATAACTCATGAATAGATAAACTTCATGTCAGAAGAAACTGCAGGCTGAAATAATAATAATAATAATAATAATAATAATAAAAATAATAAATAATATTTAAAAAAAAAAAAAAATTGAAAAGCCACATGTACCAAGAGCCGCAACTAGATATTTATACTATTTTAAAGAGAGAGAACAATTTTTGAATAAAAACTGCTTTACAACTTTACAAAAAAAAAAAAAAAAAAAAAAAAAAAAAAAAAAAATGTTTTTAAGAAATTTGTCAATGACATTGTGCTTCATAATTAATGTGATTACTTAGCATAAATATTAACAGATAAAGCTTGCTCTTCTTGCATCACTGTATTTATGAACATACGTTCCTACTAGATACAAATTTCAAACTCTTATATGATGTAATGCACACATTTTTTTTTCAGATAGAAAGCCCCTCCCACCCAATTTCTTCCTAATTCAGATTATAACTGAAGATGGTAGATTTTGTGTTCATGAGTCTTTTTTGGATTTTTAAAGAAAAAAAAAAAAACTTTGCATGAAGTAGCCGTAAGAAAATTCTTTTACTACTTCTTTTAATCAGGATAAATGTTTAGAACATAAGTTAAAAAACTGAATTAAAAAAAAAAAATTTTTTTTTTCATTTTGTGAAAATTAAAAAAATGTGGCACTGGGCCCTTCAAGTGTCAAGTGATTTTAATAGGCATAAATTGCAAAAGAAATAAAAGTGGGCTTTCCAGTTCCATAGAAAGCTTTCCATTCATGTGAAGACTGATTTGAAATATATTCTATCATAAATGAAAATAGTGATTTCTTTAATTCTTACCTCTAAAGCAACAGAGATAGGAAAGAGGGTTTGTGAAGAAATTCCACCTACATATAAGAAAACTAGGTACTTTTCTGTCAACAGGATATTACTTAGCACCAGATATAAACTTTGGTGAGAAATCTAATAGATAGCAACAACTTTATGGATATGTAAAACTTCATGGAGGGGGGGACTGAACTTGCAATAACCACAATGCATCATATAATATATAATGTTTAACATGCGCAGGGCTGATTTTGTTCAGGTTAGGCTAAATTATCTGAATATGGCAAAGCATGTTAGGGCAATCTGCCTAAAGATAGGAAAGTTTTGGTCGAGAAACTTTTGAGGGAAACTGGTTTGTGTTCACTTTATATATGCAGAAAGCCAGGAAAATCCAGTATGCAGTTAAGCCCTTTCACCTAGGACTGAACTCCCAATATTCGGCCACTGATGGGCCTCGAATTTGTGCAATGTTCCAATGTTAAGCAAAAACGGATAGCAGTGTAAATGGGGAGAACAACAGTTCTGTTCAGATAACTATTGCTTTCCTCATGTTCAAAACTATCTTTTTTTGTTTAAAAAATCTGAAGGTATATGCTCAAATTCAGCATCATGCACAGCCTTGCCATTATGAGTATTACAGATTGCATAGCTGTTTATGATGCGATATATGCAGGCTACTGTTAGCAGAAAATGATTTAAGTTACTTGATGATTTTTTTTAATACAACTAACATGAGTACCAATATACGAGATTAAAATTAATCCTAATGATATTAAATAATCATTAAATGTGAACTAAATCAAAAGATATAGTTTTTTCCTTGTACATGTAACATCTAAATATATTCATAGCATCACTGAATAATACACTCCAATGATTTTCATTCCAAGCCTAAAACTGAGTACAAGAAATGAATGGCTTGTTATCGAGTGCGAAGAAGCCACTGAAAAAATAAACAAGGCTTCTAGGATGATCATACAGAAACACTACACCAGAAATTATGTAGAGATATAGGGATATGAAGAGAACAGAAAAGAAATGACATGAAAAAAAGAAAAGAGCATTCCAAGAGGAAGAGCTTCCAAGAGGAAATGTTAAAAAACTTAAGAGAACCTGAATAACCAGAGAGAATCAGGAGGTTCTATAAACTAATCAATAATATAAGAAAAGAATATAAACAATAACTATTAAATGTAGAAGTAAGAATGGAAAACTTGTGGGTGAACTTCATGAGGTGAATGTATGGAAGGGATATTTTCAAGATCTATTAGAAAGGAGAAATGAAACTGTTGACTCCCTTGGAATTTTTGAAGAACCAAATTTATGGAAATGAGTCTCTACCATTCTTAGTATCTTAAGGTATATGCACAAATTGCTGACAATTAAGACACTTAAAGCCAACAAATTGGCTCGTCCTGACTGTATACCATCTAAAGATTGTACTAAAGATTGATGAACCAGTGTTTATCAATGCCATTCATATTATGATCAATATTTGGAATTCAGGGAAAATACTCAATAAGAAAAAGGCTCCATTGCCATAATTTTATAAAACGAGATCAACTTGAATGCCATAACTACAGGGGCATTACTCTTCTAAATATGGCATACAAAATATTCTCTAATCTATTATATGGAAGACTGCTACCCTTTGTTGATAAGGTGAAAGAAAACTATCAATGTGGGTTTAGACCCCAATGATCTACTACTGATGAAAATGTTGCCTTAAGACAAATACTTGAAAAAAACTGAAGAATACAGTATCAAAATTTACCATCTTTAAGATACAATAACATGCCGAACATATATTAATTTAGAAGTCAAACAACAAAAATCAATGTTATATTTTCAAATTTTCACAGGACTAGTTTCAATGGTTTTACCCAACCATCAACCTCAGCTGCAAAAGTGCAAATGAATGAGATAAGATAAGAAAGCCTGGACAGGAGATAAGCTACTGGCACCATCTGTTAATGAAACCAGAACTAAAACATAATTTCTTTAAAGGCTGAAGGCAAAGATGGATAAAAATTAGGGTTGTTAACTAGAACAGAGAGACTTTTTTGAATGCGAAATGCCTCTAGAAAATCCAGTTCACCAATGGAAGATGTTTTTTGAATAATTTTGGCAGCAGAAAAATTGAAAATGTGATTTTTGGACCAATAATGTTGGGCAACAGAAGACTTCTGAGTTTCCTTTTTTTCTAACATATGCCTCATGTTCCTTAATGTGAAATTTTAAGGCTCTCTTAGTTTGGCCAATGTAAATTAAACCACACTGGCAAGGAATCCTGTAAATACCCCAGGAATTCATATCCGGAATGGGGTCCTTGAGTATGGAACTTGGAATTTTATTGATGGGAGAATAAACGACCCGAAAGTTAAATTTCTGTAAAATACGTGCAACTTTATAGCTAATTGATGGAAAGAAGGGAATGACAACAGAATTTTTATAATCTCCTAAAATAAGAGTGTGCCTGTGTGTTGAGATGAGAATTTTTTTAACTGCTTGATTAATAATGTTGGGTGAAAAACCCCAGCCAATAGCTATTGCTTTTAAATAATTTAGTTTTTTCATCAAGGGATAGTTTGGAGAAGCAAACTTGAAGAGCACGGAAAACATAGGAATGAAATGAAGCTAACTTTTGTTTAGTTGGATGACAAGACTTGAAGTGTGGTGGAAGCAAACCGATGAAGGTTTACAGTAAACTGTAGTACTGAAGTTGGGATGTGTTAAGTGTCTCAAGTTCAAAAGTGAACTGAATAGCAGGATCAATGGAATTTATTGTTGAAAGAACTTTATTACCTTCCAACAGGGTAAAAGTATCGCCTATATAGCGGAACCATACGGGGAAGTTTAAAGTTTCAAACAATTTTGATTCATAATAATGCATGTAGACAGCAGACAGGATGGAACTGAGGGGGCTTCCCATGACTAATCCCTCAGTTTGCTTGTAATATTTATTTTGGAAAACAAAATGCGTTTGTTTCAGACTTGAGTGAGAGAAATTAGCTCATCAATTTCGATGCAAAAGAAATGAAATTCGCGAAGTCTAGTTTCTAGACATCTTAATACACTTTCCACTGAAACATTGGTGAATAATGATTTTACATCAAAGAAACCACGAGTGAGTAAATTACTAGGAGAAATGTTCTTAACCTATTTTACAAACTCTATTGAATTTTTATGGTGTAAATGTTATTGTCTAATAGAGTTGAAAATCTAGAAACTAAATATTTAGCTAATTGATACAAGGAAGTACCTAATTTGATACAATACGGCAGAAAGGAATACCACTTTTATCTTGTTGTTTGACTTCTAAATTTACCATCGATTTATACATATTTCAAGGCAGCATATGACAATATTAAGAGAGACAAGCTATTTGAAGCAATGGTGGAGTTTGGAATCCACACCAAGCTTATTAATTTAACTTAAAGCCATACTTGGTAAGGTGATATGTAGGACTAAAAATTCATGGAAATTATACCCTCTGTGGTAACCAGGACTGTGGAGCCGGAGTCGCTAAAAAACACGTCCACTCCGACTCCAGTTTTTATTGAACAGTGAAATTTTATTGAATTTGAAATGAAATTAAAGTGAATTGAAAAAAAAAAATTAATGACAAACTGAGTTAATATTTTTATTTATGAACTATATACATTAATAAATAGTTATTTTCTATTTTATTGACATATTAGTAAATAAATATAAGGGAGCAAGATGGACATGATATTTGCCATTATTAATTAAACTGATTCATTTAGTTACTAATCTCATTAGCGAATTTAGGTAAGTAGCAGGAACTCCCAAAATTGATGGGAGCAAGCAGGAAAAGGAGCAATGCAATGGAGAAGTACATATTTAATGATATAGTGGTTGTCAGGATTAAGAACTTTTTCAGAAAATGTAAATAACCCTAATATTTCACTAACAGAAAGACTGTGGAATGATCTTGCAGAACTGTAAACCCTTCTTTCAACACCGTGTATAGCCATAAAAAAGCTACAATCTGAAGAATTAACAGGAGATGAGAATGTTAGAAGATATTGATAACCCTAATGTTTCACTAACAGAAAGATTGTAGAATGATCTTGCAGAATTGGAAACTCTTCCTTCTATACCGTATATAGCCATCAAAAAGCTACAATCTGAAGAATTAACAAGAGGCAAGACTGGAAGAATGTGATGTTTGTTCTTTCTGAAATGGAGGGTTTATTGCAGAAGGAATCATTTCTTCAATGAAGAAAAGAGAAACTAGTTTGCTAGACAATAAGATCATGATGGGTTCAATATATGTAGATCCAAATCGCTGAATTTTGTTGGATGACAAACAAATTAAAAAGGCAAAGAAAGCCATCTTTGAACTTTCATTAAGAATGAAATTATTATCAGAACAACTGGAGAATTTGAAACAGGACAGTCAAACTGCAGATATTGTAACTGAGTCTCTATCATCATCTTCCAATGATTAATTAGATTTTGAAAAATATTTGGATAATATTGAAAAGGCTAAGGCAAAGCAAATGAAAATAAATAACCAAGAGCCTTTAGATATAAAAATGAAAAAATACAAATGAGATTTATACATGGCCTTTGAAGGAAATAGAGAAATATGATTGCTCTTGCAAGACACCTCTTTTAGAACTTATAAAAATCTATCCAGAAAAGTTAAAGGAAACAGCTCTTCTTCTTACTCAAGTCAATGTGGAAAGCCTCTTCTCAGATCTGAAGTTTATCAAATCGGATCTATGGTCCTCTAACAAAGAGGATCTTGCCAAAGTTTTACCGTTTCTTAAAAATTACTAATGCCAGTTTTTCCAATTCATAATAAATGCTAATTAATATAAAAATATGCTATGCATCAATTTTTTTCTGTAGCATCTATTACTTCTTTTATATTGAAAAAAAAAGTTGTACCCATGTGTATATGTTTACATATATATGAAGGAGTCGAAGTTGGAGTCAAGAGTCATTAAAATTCCAGGAGTCGGTCATTTTCCCTACCGACTCCACAGCCCTGGTGATAACCCAATGTGCATTATGTCTTTGGAAAGGCTGAAGAATTTAAATACCCAGGCACTATAATAAATGACAAAAATAAGTTAAGAGCAGACATTGATGATAGAATTAAAACAGATTATGAATGCTTCTTTGGGCTAAGAAGACAATTAAGATATAATCTTATAAATCACAAAACAAAATTACTGAATATATAAGACACTAATACCTACCTGTTTTATTCTATGCAAGTGAAATGTGGACTATAAATAAACACACACAGCATGCACTGAACATGTTTCAAAGAAAGCTCCTAAGAGCAATTTTTGGCCCAGTACAGGAAGGGCATTGGACAGAAAGATATAACTTTCAACTGTACAGGCTTTATAAGCAACCATAAATAATACAAGTCATCTGTAGTAATAGATTAAGATGGCTGGGCTATGTTTCGAGAAGTCCAAAAGATAATTCCACTATGATTTTGACATTCAGAAGCCTGAGGGATCCCAAGCTAAAAGAATACCACTGCCTAGATGGTTAGATGACATTGAAAAAGGATTTAAATACTTTGAAAATTAAATACTAGAGAGGAGTAGCTGCAGGTAGAAGGCACTGGAAGGAATGAACAGTTGAGGCAGCCAAAGCCTGTAAGGGACTATTGTGCTTGAGAAGATGTATGTAGGCTATTCAGAAAGTAACTTACATTTTAGGAAAAAAAATGAAAATAAAAATTTTTTATTACTTACATTTATATTATTCAGCTATTTTTCTACATAATCTCCATATAAATTAAGACACTTATCATAATAGTACAACAGCTTATTAATTCCATCGTCATAGAATGTTGCCACCTGAGGCTTCAACCATGCATGGATGCCTGCATGCAGTTCCTTGTCATTGTCAATGCGCTGTGTTGCAAGCCAGGCACACACAAGTGTCTCACAAGTGACGAAACTCAAGTCTCGCCTTCTGTTACGACATGATTAAGAAGTGATTCACTGTTCGTGGTACGCCTCGAGAAATGTCAAAGTTGCTACCATGCGCTGCTTTTTGAGTACCCAACGGTTTGGGTTACCCAAATGGAACAAAACTTGTGATAGCGTCACAACACCAAACAACAAAGTTCGTGAAATTTGAGGAAACTCTAGTGAGAGTTCTGAAATTGCTAAGTGCTGGATTTCATGAATCTTTCAGCATTAACAATGCTCAGCTGGTCACTTCGTGCTTCCTTGTGAAAATTTATGAGGCTATTTTAAAACTTGGTGCACCATTGTCTCACTCTGGCTTCACTCATTACGTGGTTTCCATACACCATACAAAGTTCCTGATAAATTTCAATTCGTTTTGCGAACAAAAGTCTAATCACTGATCGCACTTCCCAACCAGGGGGATTTTTTATTGCCACACACATTTTTAACACTCACAGTGAACAAAGCAGAGGCAATATGTGCCGTCATTGATTACAACCAGATGCATAGGCATTCAGTAGACATTCTAATACCAAGATGGGAATACTAGCATTATCTTTCGCTGCTCAGCAGCGAAATATAAGTTACTTTGTGAATAGCCGTCGTACTTCATAGATAAAGCATGCTACTACTAGTATCAGTATATGTATTTGTCTTTCCTGCTGTCCTCATAGCCCTTACCTGTCTTAAAAATAAAACATGTAATTGCTTGATTGTTAAAAAAGAGCATATCATAGCGTGGTTCTGTTTGAAATTGAAATAATACACTAAAATAAAATTACTATTTTTTACAGTGTGAGCCACATTTAATCACAGAAGAGTTGCCTGTGGCTATAAGCTGCAATTTGGATATGTTTTAATAATTTATTGTAAATGATTCTTTTTCTTATTTATTTTTTATGATAATTATCACATTTATGAAACATTAATGTAATACTCCTTATTTTCCTCACCTACTGAATTTTTGGGAATTTTTATAGTTTACAATTTTAAAATGCTGGCAAAGTTTACATTGATCTTAAACTTCTGTATTAAATATAAAAATCCAAACATAATAATTTCTGATTTTAAATTTCTGAAATTCAATTATGGTACATTAAATTCAGATCAACTTACTTTTCGAATAGTAACAGTAAAAAGCTTGCCACATGCTGTACAATGAGTTACTTCAGCATCATCAGCCCATTTTCGAGTGATGTGCTTCATATTCTCAACCTATAATATCAATTATAAATTTAAATACAATGCACACAATGAATATTACTTTTTTATAAAATATAAAAATATTGCAAACCTTTTAAAAATTTACCACTGGTTTTTTACAGAATTAAGAAATAAAATATTACTTTGTTTGTAGTTTTCTAAAAAATTCTGTAGTCATCATAATTATTTAAACTTCTCATAAAATAATGAAAAACTGTGATTTATTATTAAATTGATCAAAAAGTTTTTTTATTAAACAACTAGAGGGAATAGTATTCTTAACCAGCTAACTTCACGCTAAATCATAAAATCATAGTTGAAGCTGATAAAGACAAAATAAAGGTACAGATTGAAGCTTATTACTGAATAACAACATGTGAAATTGCCGAGAGACTGTGAAATAAAATTAATTGGTTTCATTTCAAAGCACATTATGTTCTCATGCTTGCTAACCTATGGCAGTCAAAATTCAGAATTTTTTCAATGGCAAAAATATTTCTTAAATGATAAAAATATTTTTAAAAGAAAAAAAATATTTTTCAATAATGAATTAACTTGAAATAGTAACTAATTAATATATGAAAGATCAATTAGTAATTCTTAAATGCAAATAGTACAAAAATACTTACACATAAAAAAACATTTTTATTATCTGTATATTATCCGATTTTGCTTTCATTAAGAAAGAAACTTCCTAATTGTGTTTGCAGCAATAGCCACACAGGCCTGCTTTTGTTAATAAAAGTTTTTCTAATGTGTCATTGCCAATACTGGATCTGAATTTAATCCTTGTTTTAGTAACAAAATTGAAAATCCTCTCGTACTCTGCATTACTTTGGAGAATTGTAGGATTCCCCAGGGTTTGCTCTAGACAATTCAATATACTTTAAAATTCCATCAGCACCTTTCAGTTCTCCAATTAACTCCACTGGGTATCAATCCTGGCTGGCTTTATAATTTTATAAGAGTTTTCTAATTGTAAATTCCAAAATTGTGATTGCAGTTTATCAGATGCAACAACAATATCATCCTCTTTCATAACTAAATAAAGTAAAACTGAAAATCTATTTAAAAATATCTTATCTAATACATTTGCTAGACCATCTGCAACTTCGGCACATAAAATCACTTCAATATTGACTGGAAATTTTATGTTAGTATATGTAATCACATATTTGACAGAAGTGGCTTCTTCTGTGGAAATAAAACTTATTTTTGCTTTCCTCTGAATTTCCACTACTTTCTCGATTGCAGTCCTTATACTAAATCTTCACCTTTCTCCTGATTTTTTATTTTACGATAAATCAAATGATATACAGAATTAGAAGACAAAGGTTGGTTTTACAAACTTTGACAAAATGTATTTGAACAGATTATTAATCATTGATTTCAAAACATGAATTAAAGGAATTCTGCATGATGGAACTGAGTTATGAACATCGAATAATGGCACAATGGAGTGCACAAAAGTGCAAAAAGCTGTGTTATGGTCTGAAGACAAAAACATAAATATCCATTTTTAACAAGATAAACTTACAGAAATCAGAAAATGTTTCCCCATTGAGGATTTTTTTTTAAAACATTTTTATTTTGAGAGCTCTGTATCTCTGTTCTTATATTTTGTAGTATTATTTTGAGAATTGCCAATTAAATTGCTCACATGTGCAGAAATCAATTTATTTTTCTCACACGTATTTTTAACAGAGAAACTAGTTAATTTAGGTATTTTAACTTTCAATAGAGCCTTTTATCTTAATTCTAGAAGAATTAACTTCTTCCTTAAAAAATACAAAAAGTAGGTTCCATTGGTCGGGGATTCTAGATAAACAATTTCTTTAACGATAGCCGATGTACACACGTAATTTAAAATTCTTTTTTTTTAGTATAATGCAGCTGTTGGAATTGTTTTAATTTTTTCTTCCTTTTAAACCTCTTTTTGACATAATAATCCATATCAACAATGTGTTCGCCCACATTTATTGGTAAAGAAGCTGCCTCCTTTTCAGCTGCTAAAGTTAAGAGGTTAAAGGTGCACCTCATAATTTGAAAATGTGAATTTTCCATTTTTAAAATGCCTGAAACACCGCCATTCGTGGTGCACTGTTGACACCAAGTGCTGAGCAATTATCCAGAGAACTTGCAATTGATTTTAAAGTTTTAATAATCAGCTGTGCAACGTGACAACCTGTTGAGTCTCCTTTTTTAAAATGGAGCAGAAAGTAACTACACCAAAATTCTCAAGACTGTATTAAAAAAAGAAACGATGACAATTGCATACAGATTTGCATTGGTATTATTGCATCCATCAGTATAGAGGCAGAATGGAGATATTTTAATGCAATTAATAACTGAAGATTTATTTCTCATACCCATTTCTTTAACAACTGTAGCCGTTTTTGTCTTTGCACTTCAGTATTTCATATCAATTTTATTTCTAAGAAACATTTTTCAAAATAAAGCTGCAGCATGATCCAATACACACAGTAACAGTTTGTGCTCCAGTAAAAAGGTACAGAAGAGGCATTCTGCAAGAATAACAGTCTTGTTCCTTGTTTCCATAGAGAAATGTAATTTTTTGTTCCAATACAACTCACATTATCTTTATATTTTTGCATATGCACATGTTTGAGAACATCAGTCCTTCCACCACGACAAATAAAAAAAAAAAAAAAAAGAAAAGAAATGGCAATGACAAATGGTACACATCACACATGTATTACGTTTCTTTAAGGAAATTATAGAAGGAAAGTCATCTGTGTACAATTTTTAAAAAGTACATGAGTATTTTATCTTTTTTGCAAACATAACTAAAAAAAAAAAATTCACAATATCTAAAACTAATTCTCAAAAGCATGTGACCTGCACTCGGCGGAGAGACAAATGAAATAACAACTTTCATATTGCTTTATATTCACTGGCAAATATACGCCAGATGACACGTAGTGGCGCTCGAGAAATGACTTTGGTTTTCTTTTATACGTAATTTAGAGAAAAACCAAGTGCTTTCAAACAAACAAACAAAAAAAAAAAAAAAAAAAAAAAAAAAAAAAGAGAGAGAACTGCTCTGTCACATTGACATTTGTGTGCTTTATTCTTCAATATATATATAAAGAAATGAATCATAGCTGGCAATGATAAAAGGCTTGCTTATAAGCACACACACACACACGCGGGGGGGGGGGGGGGGAGAGATTACTCTCTGTTTGGTATGATTTTTTTTTTTTTTTTTTTTTTTTTTTTTTTTAAATGCCCAAAAAGGTGGTAGCCCAGAAGGGCTTTTAGTCTCAAAATGGCATTTTGTGCAATTTCACTAAAAATGGCGAATTACTTTTTAAATTGCTACCACCAAATATTATTGCCCTGTATTATATTTAAGGAAATTAAATAATGAAGAATCTGCATGAATGTGTGTATATTTCTTCATGATCTAGAATCATCAAATCTTTAATAACATAATCCTTCACCTGAACATATGCACCTGGAAGACCAAATTTTGAATTTCAAATTTGTTTTATGATCTATTTCATATTTTGTAGAATTTTAAGGAATTTTTTATTAACAAACTTAACAATTTCAAAGCAAGTAATGGCAATATGGCATAAAAAAAGAAACATTTTATTTCCAGCAGGCAAGACTGTCTATCAGAAATTCTAAAGATATGCTGTTTTTAAATATTTTGGATATTGCTGTTGAATTGAATTTTATGCGATTTAAATGTGAAGAACATGATACAGTCAAAAGTCCGTAATCCGGACTCGTTGGGACTTCGGTGATTCCGGATTATAGATCATCAGTTTAAATCTGGTAAGATGGCATGCAGAAATTATAAAATTAAAAATATGAAATCGCAATTTATAAAATAAAGAGCAATTATGATCCAAAGGGTATCAAAATTTCCCCCCCCCAAAAAAAGCTTGATATTTATTTGTTTACTTTATTAAACATTTCTTTCAACGCGCGCATGGGTAAAGCATATATTACGCATAGTCGAAATTAGGAAACTGCAACCAGAAAACTACTTGATGTGTATTCGTGATATTTATAATGACAAGGAAATTGATTTAAATCATATCAAAGCTGTACAGCTGTTTGTGAGCACATCAGTGCATCGAGATGAAATATTACATTTAGTAAGGAATTATAAGCCGAATAAAATAAAAACATCTCCCCTGAAGCTAACTTCCAGTTCATTGCGTGCGGCGACGTCCTCCCTCCCAGAGCAGCGTGAGATTGATAAACAGATTTCGGAATGGTTAGAGAAACAAAGGATATGCCTTTATCGATTTTTTGCAGCAATTCCACTTTTTGTTGATGGACATCGAAACATGCTTTCGCTTTGTAGATCCTTTGGCAGCTCCAGAATCGGAAATTCTTTTTGACATAATCGAAAGGTCAAGCTTACTTTTATAAAATTGCTCTAACAGTCTGCAAAAAATAATAAGCTGGATCTAATTAGAAGATTAAGGAATAACACAATCTGCAACATTAACTGAAATAGATAATTAGATAATTTTAGCTTAGCTTATACCGTCTGTTATACATTAAACGCGCATGTATAAACGTATTATGCGCATGCGTAAACGCATTGCTTTGAGGTCCGGATTAAAGACTTTTGACTGTATTTAATAAATAAAGGTAATATGCAAAACATTAAAAAAAGTTCCTTTGGATGTAATATAAAATATGAAAACTTTCAGAATTTTTTTTAAGCTTCTACCAGACTATTTCACATCTCATTTAAAGTGTACTGCCATCGAATGACCACATTAACTGAAGCCATCTGCCAGAAAAGGCCAGAAATGATCAACAGAAAAGATGCAAAGTTTCACCATGATTCCACGATAATGCCAGACTGAACACAATTTAATGTGTCAGTTAAAAAGTCTCTGCGGTGAAGCAGAGATTATGTGTCAGTTAAAAAGTCTCTGACACATTAAATTTTGCCACTAGATGGTGTTGATGCCTATATATTTGGCAACACTCGCCCGATTGTCTCAAAGAAACATGTGCTTAAAAGGTGACATTCAGATTCCATTGTTTGTGAAGATAGTTTTCTAATTCGTTGCTCATGTAAAATGTTATATTGATTTGAATGAGTGAAATATCTGAAGAAATACACTATGTGATGCTTTTTTACTTTAGAAAAGGTAAAAATGCTGCAAAAACATGCCGAAAAATTTGTGAAGTGTACGGTGAGAATTCTGTGTCTGAATAAAGGACCTAGGAGTGATTTGTTTGATTCTGTTCTGGAAATTTCGATGTTAAAGATGCACCTTGCTCTGGTAGGACAGTCACTGAAAATATTGATGAAATTTTGCAACTGGTGGAGCAAGACGAGCACAAGCTGTCAGGAACTAGACATTAACCACAGGACAGTTTGGAATCATTTGAAAACAGCAGGCTACAAAAAAGAAGTTCGATGTTTGGGTGCCACATGAATTAACACAAAGAATTTTGATCGATTGAATTACCATCAGTGAAATGCTGCTGAAACGCAATGAAATGGAATCATTTTTGAAGCAAATTATTGCAGGCGATGAAAAATGGGTGAAATACAAGAATATCAAATGCAAGTGACATGGTCAAAGGCTGGTAACCCTACACAACCGACTTCAAATAGATTGTCACCAAACAAGGTTATGCTGAGTATTTGGTGGGACTGGAAAAGAAACATCTAATACAAGTTACTGCAATATAGCGAAACCATCATTTCGGCCATGTACTGAGCACAAGTTGAATGTTTAAACGAAGCAATTCAGAAAGAGCCACCAGAATTGGCCAACAGAAAGAGAGTTGTGTTCCATCATGATAATGCACAGCCACACACATCTTTGATGACTCGGAACAAACTGACGGAACTTGATTGAGAAGTTTTGATGCATTCACTGCATATCCTGGACCTTGCATCCTCTGACTACCATTTGTTTTGGTCTATGTAAAACTCTTTTGATAGTAAACAATTGGTTGACTGAAGCTCCGCTGAAAATCACTTGGTCAAGTTTTTGGATGATAAAATACAGAAGTTCTACACCAATAGAATTGTGAAGCTGCCCGAAAAATGGCAAAAGGTCATAGATAATAATGGCCAATATGTACTTGATTAAAATTGATTTTCAATAAAGAAAATGTTTGTCAATAATGTACCAAAAAACTGTGGAGAATTTTTATATAGCCCAATAACCAGACTTGTGACTGTTAGCCAAGATAATGCCAGCCTAACTTGTCAGAAGCTAAACTTGAATGGTATGTGTTACCTATGTAAATCATACTCTTTAGATTTCCTACCATCAGATTGTTTCTTGTTTTGGTCTTTACAAAATATTTTAAATGGTAAAGCATTTACATTAAATGAGGATATCCGAAAATGCTTGGATCACGTTTTCGTAAGCACAGAGCAGAATTTTATGAGTGTGGAATCATGCTACAGTCAGAAAAAAATATTGGCCAAAATGGTCATTTTATGGGGGGGGGGAAGTATTTATAAGAAAAATTTTTTTTCATAAAAAAATTATTTTCTGAACAACTCAGTATATGCTTCTGTAATAAAAAATTTGATAAATGCGAGTCTTGAATTAATAACTTTTTCATGCCTAATTTTACGTTAAAAAATACTAAATAAAAACTTTCACCCTCTCTCTCTCTCTATTTATATGTAGTAAAAAGTCAAAAATTTGGATGTCCAATGTCTAAACCATTTTGATTTAGTTTGAACTCATGTTCACCAGGATCACACTTTGGGTTCTTGAGTGGTTGTGGGGATTACCATTTTTCTATCTGACCTAAACAATAACTGAAGCCCTAATCTTGCCATGTCTACAAATCATTTTACTAGAATTAAACTGATGATTTAAAATCTAAAAATTTCTGGAATTGCCAAAGACACAATGATTTCACACCTCAGATTTTGTTTGGATACAGGTTTGTACCAAAAGTCCCCGGAATGATTTTTTAAAAATCATTTATTCAAATTCAGTTTACAATCTTTTCAGAACTTTTCAAAGTATTCTCTCTCTGCTTCGATACACTGTTGCCAATGCTTCATCCAGTCATTGAAGGTGCCCTGGAAGTTGTCAATGAGAATTTCCTTCAGTGAGGTCATCGTGGGTGCTTTTATAGTATTTATATATCTATGACAAACCTGACTGATATATCTAAAATGGGATATAAAATACTAGTTTGTGTTATAAATGATTTACATTATATGAATATACATAAATGCTACAAACTGCAGGAAATAATTAATGCCCTCTGATTTCATGAAAAACCTTATCTGGAAAATCAATCGACAAGATTCAGCAGTTTTTACTAAAATATGTAAAACTGTTACCAGTGCAAGAATCACATAAAAGTAAATCTTTGAACTATCTGATGCCCCTTACCATCTGAGATCTTACACAATGGATATTTTCAAAATATTTGGTTAGTTCTTTGCCTCAATTTTGTGGGAGATCACCCTAGGAGATGGCCTAAGAGTCTCCTATAGTTCGACTGTTTTAAACGCAAGCTTGGCTGGTATTCTGCCAAAACACATAGAATCGTCCAAAAGCAGCATTATTTATATGCTGTGAGGTATGTTCTGTTATTGCAAAAGAAAATTTAGAATATAAAAATTTTTAAATAAATTTAGTTAGATATTTAGGTATAACTTGATGGCAAAAATGATTTTACAGGGAAAAAATTGGCATATCATTTGAGAAACAAGTTTTGTTTCAAAAAATTAACATCAGTAGTTATGTTACACATAAACTTATAATGTATCTACACTTATCATAGAGATATATAATGGATACTTTCTGATTATTCGCATTCCCCCCAAAAGATGCCAATTTATTGGTGACTAATTTTTTTCCAAGCTAATATGTAAAAGACAACAGCAATTTTGAAAATTCTGGCATACTAAAAATACTATAAAAGAGGAATGAATCAATAAAATTAAAAAGCAAGAAACATCCACAACAAAACACTCAGCTTTCTGAAGAAATTTCTTTGGTGCTTTTGTTTTTTCATGTACCCAGTGATTCATTTTTGATTCAAAAAGCAACAGAGAACTACAAAAATTTCACATTGCAAACACTGCTATTTTCCTACACACACAGCAATCTGTTTTGTTAAAAAAAATCAGAGAACTGCAAAATTTAGCATCAGTACAAATTTTAATCTATAATTTGACCATTTATGAAGTACAACTTCATGGAATACAAATTTCTATATTTCAGTGGGAAAACTTCACAGCCCCATTATGATTGCCTACAAGGGGGAAAAGTGCACTCTGCAATGAAAACAAACATTACTGACCATCAAATCTGACAGTGGGAATCTACACTCACCTGCTGCATGTATGCGCATACCTAGGTTAACACATAAATACATTTTAGCAAAGTCATTAGTTCCCTATTTTATGCATTGCCTCGTGAATACTTCGGATGAAGGATAAGATAGGGACATGACTTGAGCCAAAAATTGGATGGGGATAATCAAAAAGTACCTATAATTGTTCGATCTACTTTTTTTTTTTTTCCATCTTATACAAGCACTCATGCATTTAGCATCGTAAAATACATAAACAATAACTTTTTTAGATGAAAAAAAAATAATTAAAATTACCTGAAGAGTTTGGTTTTCTCGACCTAATTCCTGAAGTGCAGCTACACAATCTTCATACTTTCTGCGCATTTCAGCAGTAGATGTCTGAAGACGCTCACACTCAGATTCACTTTGTAAGCATCTGTAAAATAATGGCAAAATATTGAACACTCCATTTTATTCTATTAAATATACCCAAAATGAAATTCTGATGTACACAAAAGCTATCATGATTTATGACCTCTACTTGACATGTATACATACATTATAAAAATATTATTCATGAAATATATTACTCATTATATTTCAAATTAGAAAATTTCCATGTTACATTAATTTATTTGAAAATTTTTGTTGGTGTTGACAGTACTTGTGTAGTGGTGAAACACAGTTGCCTACAAAAGAAGCATAGTTGATGTAAGTGAAATAAAGGGATTTTATTGGTGCTTTCCTAAAGCTTAAACAAAATAGTTGGAAAAGGGTAACCTCCTTTGGTGACGAATCTGGCTTTGTGAAAACTGAAAGGTTCATTCCACCTTTCACTTTATTCAGAATAGTTATTTTGCAGCCAACAGCTTTACTATTACCTGGCAAATCAGTTAATTCTCATGTATTGCTCCTCATTAAGAAACTGCATTCCTCTTGATAGCTGCTCTCTATTTTTCTCCATCTGGTCTAGATCAGTGGTGGCGAACCTATGACCTGCAGGTCAGACAGTGCCACACAAAGGTCTTTTAAATGACTCGCACTTTGCTTTTTATAAGCTTATTACTTCCTTGTACGAAGTTAAAAGGAAGTATTGTAATCGTGAAAAGTTTCAGGCAGCATATTTCAACGAAAATATCCATTTTGACCGCTATTGAATGCAATTTAACGATGTTTTTGCAAGACATTTGTACGTAAGGACAGAATAAAGGACTCTTCCCCCCCAAAAAAAAATTGTAAAACTAATTTTAAATGAATTCTGAAGAGAATTTTCCGTGGCATCTGCGCCTACATATGTATGTATCTCGCATAACTAAAAAACGAGTAGCCTCAGAACGTTGAAATTTTGTATATAAGACTGCTATAACATATAGATGTGCATCTCGTATTTTGATTGCAACCGACAACAAAAAAAAGTATATAAATATATGTATATATATATACAGTCAAAAGTCGTTAATTCGGACACCCATAATCCGGACCTCAAAGCTACAAACTTTCTGCGCATGCGTCGCGTTGACGCATGCGCGTAAGACCTTTACCGCTGCTAATTTGTGTGTGCGCAAAACACGTTTGCGAATGCGCGTTTAATGTATAACGGACGGGATAAGCTAAGCTAAAATTATCTAATTATCTATTTCAGTTAATGTTGCAGATTGCGTTGTTCCTTAATCTTCGAATTGGATCCGGATTATTATTTTTTGCAGACTGTTAGAGCAATTTTATAAAAGTAAGCTTGAACTTTCGATTATGTCAAATAGAATTTCCGATACATATCTACTAATATGTAAAGGATATACAAAGCGAAAGTATCTTTCGGAGTCCATTAAACAAAAAGTGGAATTGCTGCAAAAAAATGGATAAAGTTATCTAAACTTTAACGTGTGCTTATCTAAACTTTGTTTATCTTTAACGCTGCGGCGGGGAGCATGAGCAATGAATTGGAAGTTGATCTGTCAAAACTATCCTTATCTTAAGGGCAGATGTTTTTATTTTATTTGGCTTATAATTGCCTTACTCAATGTAGTATTTCATCTCGTCTTTGATATGATTTAAATCAAATGCCTCGTCATTATAATTCGCTTCCGATAGCGAAGAAAGAAAGTGACAGAGGTTATTGAAAACGAAAAAAATTTCGATTGACAAATTAGTCAGTATTCTCGACACAGCAATTATATCACTTGAACAATGGAACTTTGTAACTGAACAAGAAATTATGTCTGTTTATAGAATTAAAGAGAATGTATTATAACATAAAAAACGAAGCAACTTAAACAACTTACATTGAAAGAAATGTTTAATAAAGTAAACAAATAAATATTAAGCTTTTTTTTTTTTTTTTTTTTAAATTTTGATACCCTTTAGATCATAATTGTTCTTTATTTCGTAAATTACGGTTTCATATTTTTAATTTTATAATTTCTGCATGCCATTTTACCAGATTTAAACTGATGATCTATAATCCGGAAAAATCGATAATCCGGAATCGCCGAAGTCCCGACGAGTCCGGATTAACGACTTTTGACTGTATATATATATCTCCTCTGTTACTCGGCACAGTGATCTCAGTTTCTTTATTCTTATATGTTTGTAAATTGTGCATTTTTTGCTCTAAAAATGATTGGATTATGTTGTTCTTATCTTCCAGTCAAGGTTTTTATGCCTTTAGTAAATCTGTATGCAATATTTTTAGAATTATCAACAATTTAAAAGTTGTTTAAGCGCCGCTAAGCCTAATAATTTTTGCCATGATGGCCATTGCTTGTTTACATTTGAAACAGCAGAATAGTAGAGTTGTTGACAATCTAGAGAAAGTAAGCTTCACAATAACAAAGATAACGCCTTTTTTTATTTAATTTTTTATTATAAAAAAGTGAGCAGACAATTGAAAATACTAAAAAATTAAAGTATAAATATCCAATGTCGAATTTATAAAAAAGGTATTTCCAAGTGGATGTTGGCCAACTGATTTTCTATCACATGTCACTCAACACTCAAGCTGCACATCTTGTCTCCTCGATTGATTTTTTACATGGCCACATGCGAGTTTCAAATGTGCAGGTGCCTGAAAACTTGTTTGATGCAGGAAATCTCAAATTCTCAGAATAAAATGCTACAAAAGCATAGATTACAATACCAGCAGGAAGATTTCAAGAGTTAATACACATTTCTGCACACGGAAATTAAATACTTTTAAGGACCATTAATGAAAAAGATTAAGGACCTTCTGAGCAAATAGGAACTGAATAAATTCAATTATAAATATTATCTATGCCTGAACTTCACTTTTGTAATACCATCTTAAAAATAAGTAGATCCATAAGTAGGATGCATTATTATTAAACATAGTTAATATAAATATTAATAAATTTGAGAATAAAAAAAACTTTATGAAATTTATCAAGTAACATTAACATTTTATGCTTATAACAGTTGGACATATTTGAAAGAAGAAAAATGACATTTTATTTACGTTTTACTAACAGTTAGCTTTATGTCGATTTTTTTTTTTATGTCTCATTTTGTCACACACTTGCTCAGTTTAGAGGTTTAGTAAATAGCAGTTAGATTTAATGTCAAACAACATAGGTTAAAATGAGAAATGAAATGAAAATCAGCATGATTCATAATAAAAGAATGGCTGTTATCACCACTTAGAGAGAGACCTGATGATCAGAACAATCCTGAAAGGCCTGATGTAGGCATGGTTGGCAAGTTTTGAAAGTTAGTCTGTCTGATGCAGTTAGTGTCGTAGCTTCACGTAGAGTTCCAGTGGTTGTAACCCAGTTAATATATTTTAAGGTTTCAATAAGCCACTAAAGCATCAAAGGAGATAAGTTGTTTTGTATTATGTGATGTCTCATTAAATCCAAAGAATAAGTTTTACATGAATTTTTTCATTTTTGTGTTTTATCTTATGACCATGGTAAGGATTAATGAAAGGCATTAACTCGCTTTAATGTGCAGAGATAACTTTAAATAGTGTCTAGTTACAAATAATTAAATTAGCTAGTTAGATAATCTTTAGTCAATATAGACTTACATGGGCATCATTAAATTTAGTTTTTAAAAATATTTGTTACAAAAAGCCCCATTCAAATCACAATCTAATAAAATTTTACAGTTTAAAATACATGTAATTTATGACATTGATTCTTAACGATACTAGGGTAATTACACATTAAAAGCTACAAAATATTTATGTTTTTAGCAACAACATTGAACAAAATATTTATGAGTCTTTTTAATTTTAAGCATTCTCAGATATTTTAGCTAATTTACAGTGATTTCCTTCTCTTTAAGCATCTTTTCTAACAATCCAAAGTTTGTCTCAATATGCAAATCAATGTTCTTCAATAGTTTCTGCATTTGTTTCATTATTATGTTTCCATTTTCTTCCAGATATTCTCCAAAAAGTAAGAAATTCATCACAAACTTTTTGTAAAACACATCCATTATGTGTTCATACCATGCAGACATTTTTTCTAGAGTCATGGGTTTATAAATCTTGCCTTCAAATCATTCTAAACTTTCCATGCTGCAATGTCTAAAATCCTGAGGAAAAATTACCCCTATTAATTCTATAACAGGAAAAAGCCATAAATATTTTTTGGAGAAAGAAAATTAGAGGGGAAAAAATGCAAAATTTATTTTATAGAGAAAACTGATTCTGAAACAATTACATGGGAAAATGTCTTAGCATGAAAAAATTTAAAAAGACATTCTTAATTAATTACTTAGCTATTTTGCTTTAGTAAGAACTGTTTCATAAATTGTTCTTTAAAGCATTATACTTTGTTTATTTTTCAGATTAAAAAAATTGCATAATAAGTGGCCAAAATGAAACTTTATAATAATGACAACAAAAATTTTAAATTTTTTATTTTCACGTTATTTTTAAAATATATTACCATTATTATAATGAAATTAATCAATGTTACAATAATTTAAAAAAATTGTTGAAAAATTTCCAGATCTCAGAATTAAAAATTTTCTACAGAAACTGATCTTAAATTTGCCAAAATGTTGATAAGCCACCAAATTTGTTGTTTCAGAGATCTTCATTAGAAAAAATGAAATAATTTCAAAATGGTTATGTTGCACTTCTTTCACTATGAAACTTGAGTATCCCACCATTTATATTAGAAATAGGAACAAATTATAACTCATGAACCCATTCAAAAGATAACAATAAATAGCAGTGAATCACCAAAAATTTTCCCCCAAAATGCTAATTCTAAAATGGCAAACGTAAAAAAGACAGAAATTTCAGATGATTAAAATTAAGGAAATTCTGCCGATTTTGGCTGAAATTAAGAACTTTTAAGGACCAAAAATTGATTGGAAAAAAAACTTTTATGGACTTAACTATAAATAAGAACCATATAAACCTTGGATTTGAGGAGGTAAGATCAATTATTTTCTGATTTCTTATTC